TCTAAATTGTTTGTTAGTGGTTTTTATTATTTTTTTGATCACGCAGAATAAGATATATATGTCTGTGTTCTCTGTTTTATTACTTACGCTCTATATTTGTTGCGCTAAGTTAGATAACTTTTTTCGTTGTGTATGCTCTTCCTTATATATATATAAAGTATATGATATAAGGTCTTAATTTTCTGCTATCTCGTTATTATTGAAAACCTTTTCTCTCTGACGTAACTATTATAAATATCTAACTAAGTTATTTTATAGCAAATTGATTAATTTATCTATAACTACTTTACACTTTTGATTATACATTTTAATTCAGATGTTGAAATACCTAATTATATTATGGGTTTTTAAAACTTATTATACTGTACCATATAATATATAATTTGGTGGATTCGATAGTAAAGAGGAGGACTCGTAAATCAGTGGTTGGGGTCGAACGTCTATATGTTGAGTAGTTTTATGGGCGATACGTTTTGGGGCCGAAACGACATCGAGAAATTATTCCCACACATTTAAATGCATATTGAGCACAAGCTTGCCACTTCTTTCGTGTGTACACGTGTGCCTCTCTCGCGCTTTTCTATGTCCAGATGCACGTAACACTAAGAGATAAAATCCAAACAAGAGGTTTCGATCGCAATGAAACTTTGGGAATAGATATATAGATAGTTCGCATCCTCGAGAGAGTGAGTGTAGCCATGAGTGCACAAATGAACGGCGAGAATCTTCTGCCTTTGTTAATATTTTATACTACTTATTATGGCCGTCGGTTGTTTTATTTTTCTTTCAACTTTTAACACATTTTGGTGTCGCGGGGACATAACTGCTAAACGAGTTATCAAACATGAAACTTTGTAGGTGATAGATCTCCAAATTGATAGTAAGATGAAGTGCAGATGCTAAAGAGATATAACTAAATGTCTTGCTCTAATTTCTGTGGGAGTAATTTTGGCCTTATGTTGCTTGCTACATAGTTTGGACACTTTGAACTTTTCCGGGACTTACTCTAAAATTTATAAGTTGTATAAACATGAAACTTTGTAGGTAGATAAGTCTCATTGGGTAGAAGTGCAGTGCTAAAGAACCATAACTATGCCTTGTCTTATTTTGAAGTTATTGCCCTTTGTTTATTTTTACTTTTTGACTTTTGTCCGAACATAACTCTAAAACTATTAAATATATCAACATGAAACTTTGTAGGTAGATAGATCTTATTGAATATAAATGCAATGCTAAAGAACCTAAACACAGCCTTGTCTAATTTTGGAGTAATTGCCCTTTGTTCATTTTTACACTTTGAATCTTACCTGGGACATAACTCTGAAACTATAAGAGATATCATCACGAAACTTTATAGATAGATAAATCTCATTGAATAGAAGTGCAAGAAAACCATAACTCTGCCTTACGTAATTTTGAAGTTTTTGCCCTTTTTTCATTTTTTTTATACTTTCGTGTGTCCCAAACCTTCTCGGTGAGCATCAACCGGTTCAAACAGTTCTTGTTTTTTTGGCCGGGTTGCACTGGTGCAAACCCAGGTTATAGTATGGTGAATGTCTTGCGGCGGGCGGGGAAACATTTTCGTAACAGTTTTCTCAGCAACATCTTATTACAACTTCTTGTTATTTAATATACAGCATTTACACTTGGTCTGTTGCTCATCCACTTCCTGTTTACAAACTTAGTTAAATTTTCGACATCAATGGTCATTAGTAGAAAATTTTAGTAACAGCACAGCCTCATGATGTTTGGTATAACAAATGCAACCCGACCTTTTCTGTCTTTGATCCTTTTTTTCTGTATGATTAGACAGTTTAAGATTTTTTTATCATTTCATAATCCTGTCTTCTTTTTTCTTAGAAAAGTACATTGACTGAATATACGAAAAGCAGATATAAGTATTTTTGTTTGCTAATTGTTAGTGTTTTTGTGACCAGATCAGCTGATAATGTTGCACGTTAACTTAAGTGTTAGTGGACAAAAGATATACAATTTGATCTGTATTAAATCTTTAGGTTTAGTTCCATCTGAATTTCTAGGTCAAATCTAGTATGACTATACAGCCCGGAAAACTTTACTTTTTTCTTTACGATTTGTTTAAATCGTTTGTTTACTTTCAGATAAAGTTAAAAGTCGAGCGTTGCCCTCGCCCGGCGGTGGCTCTTGTTAGTAAGAAGATGGCGTCCAATAGTAGGTTTTTTCGACACATTAATGTACATTTAAGAATACATGTACTTTATATTTTTCTAACAGCAGCAGTTATTTTCATCACGGATCTAAATTAACACTTGTAATATAAACCCGTGCTTTCTTGAAATAATATAATTGATATCTGGCAAACATAAAAAGCATTCAGATTTCAAAACGACAGTTTTTTTTCCGAGATGGCAACCAAAAGGGCATTTACTGATCGAGTGACCATGGCCATTCCGTATAAATGTAAACTGTTTTACAAGCTTTTTTCTTCTAAAAATTCATTAATTTTTGACTTTGTTGAGAATAATGCTTCCGAAAGATCACCCATTTCCAGATTTTTATATTTTTCTTCTTTAAAGCAGGTTACAAGTGCCGTATGGCAGCTGTAAAGAGTTGCCCCGTACCTCACTTTTTACTTTAGTGTTGCTATATTTTTCCATCCCCTCGGGATCATTAATTTTAGTACTTTAAGTGTTGAAAATTGAATACCCCTCAAGCTGGTGTTACAATTATCATACTCAATCACACAGAGACTGCAATTTTCATTTAATTTTGTTGTGATTAATAGTTCCGATGCATCACCTTTCCCCACATTTTGTGTACGTTTCCTTGAGCGATGTCATGTTGTTCAAATACAAATGTATTTAGAAAAATCGTAAATTGTGAAAGAATAGATCTATATCCCAAACAGTGATTTTACCGCTAAATAAAATTACAGATTGGAGCTCCCATGCGAGGAATTATATCACGAGACCTCAGTCCGAGTGATATAATGATTCGCATCCGAAGGACAGTGATTTTTCAAGCGATAAAATCACCGATTTGGATACATGTATATTATTATGATTCTAACACGACATCAACACATTTTATATGCGGTCATACCCGATATTAAGCTAAATTGCGTCTGATTTGTTTCCGTACTTATTTTCAGCCGTTGCATTTTTAGTGTTTATGTCTAAATATAGAACGTCAACAGGATACGTTGCCTTGTCTGTTATATGCAGGCTTCATAACCACAGATCCCCTTTTAAAATTCTATTTTATTTAGTTCCGCTCACTGTTTTCTCGTGTAGGGCACACGCATTATTTTACCTGCATGGGGACCATACGCCGCTTTTTATGGAATGGCACTACTGTGTCAAATTGAAGGTTCTATGATTACGGCCGTATGAACACATCTGCGTCTGTTTCTAAATTCAAAATTTCACCATTTTCGTGTTCTGCTTTAGCCGGTGCTAGGATGTGTGGACGGTAACCTTTACTTTCCAGAACCGTCCATGAACCGGTTCAATCAAACCGAGGCTGCAAAATTTTCAATTTTGAGTGTTGGGCTTTCTTTACGAATTCTTTTTGTCTTTACTTTTACATAATAATAGAAAACTCTTCAACAAAAACAACTAGAAGACGTTCAGATAACAAGTATGAATTATTATCCCCCGCCGATGGAATCGGGAGGGGTATATAGTTTTGGCGTTGTCCGTCCGTCCGTCCATCCGTCCGTCCGAATTTCGTTTCCGGAGTAGTTCTCTGCAACTACTGGCTGGAATTCAACGAAACTTTATGGGAATCAGCAATATCAAGAGGAGATGCGCATATCGTCGGCTTGTTCCGGTCCGACCCTTTAACTCAGAGTTATGGCCCTTGATTAGTTATGTAGTATGCATATAGAGTAAAAATAGTTTCCGGAGTAGTTCTCTGCAACTACTGGCTGGAATTCAACGAAACTTTATGGGAATCATCAATATCAAGAGGAGATGCGCATATCGTCGGCTTGTTTCGGTCAGACACTTTAACTCAGAGTTATGGCCCTTGATTAGTTATGTAGTATGCATATAGAGTAAAAATCGTTTCCGCACTACTTCTCTGCAACTACTGGCTAGAATTCAACGAAACTTTAAGGGAACCTTCAATACCAAGAGGAGATGCGCATATCGTCGGCTTGTTCCGGTCAGACACTTTAACTCAGAGTTATGGCCCTTGATTAGTTATGTAGTATGAATATAGAGTAAAAATCGTTTCCGCACTACTTCTCTGCAACTACTGGCTGGAATTCAACGAAACTTTATGGGAATCTTCAATACCAAGAGGAGATGCGCATATCGTCGGCTTGTTCCGGTCAGACACTTTAACTCAGAGTTATGGCCCTTGATTAGTTATGTAGTATGCATATAGAGTAAAAATCGTTTCCGCACTACTTCTCTGCAACTACTGGCTGGAATTCAACGAAACTTTATGGGAATCTTCAATACCAAGAGGAGATGCGCATATCGTCGGCTTGTTCCGGTCAGAAACTTTAACTCAGAGTTATGACCCTTGATTAGTTATGTAGTATCCATATAGAAAAATATTTGTTTCCTCGCTACTTCTCTGCTACTACTGGCTGGAATTCAACGAAACTTTATGGGATACTAAGAGGAGACGTGCATATAGTCGCCTTGTTCCGGTCAGATACTTATAACTCAGATTTATGGCCCTTGATTAGTTATGTAGTATGCATACAGCTCATTGGCATTTCCAGATTTTACTAATTAACACAAAGTTATGGCTCTGTTATTGCCCTGAATATTTATCAAGTTCAAGGAATATAACTGTTTATGCCATGATTAATATATAAATAAAGCCTTTTGCCTTCAGTTGTTGTGTTAATAATAACCAGTACTCGGCGGGGGATATAAATTCAACGAATTTGCTTGTTGCATATTCTAACACGATCAGCACTTTTCCCTATTGAACATGGAAGGGCCAAAAGTGTGTGTTATTATCAATTAAAACAGGAAAGCAATGATACCATTTTATACATGACTTTCTAATATGTAAACATGCTACTCATCATTCAACAAATAATTCTAAATATTGACAGAGATAAATAGATTTATTTAACAAAAGGTATGTGGACATACTGACAATCTACAATGATTTTATGGTATACATGTATGGACAGAAACACACTGCCCATGTCTTTATAACCTATACATAACATAAACTGAACTACAAAACCAACAGCTAGACAGCATAGCAAAGCTGTACGTACATATGGTATTGATTGAATATCAGTAATTTAACACATTAAGTATTGAGTTATCATCATACAATGAACAGGGAAGGTAAATGTATATTTGGACAGACTGTTGAATATGACTTGCTGTAACTCTTTCTTTCCACATGTAGCATTTAATATCTAAGTGCAACATAACAACAAGGCACACACTATATTTTACAATGTCAAATATTTCTGAGAACAAAAGTTTGAAAAGCATTATTTCCCTTTTATCAAAAAAAAAAAAACAAAAAAAAAAAAACGGGAAAGAAGTGACACCATTTTATACACGACTTCCTTATAATGTAATCAAGCTACTGTTCACTAAGCAAATAAATCTAAATATTGATAAAAAGAGATAAATAGATTTATTCAACATAAAAAATGTGGACACACTATCAACCTAGCTACCATGCTTTTTGTAACATACATGTATGTAGAGAAACACACTATCCGTGTCTTTATAACCTATACATAAATAACATAAACTGAACTACAAAACCCACAGTTAGACAGCATAGCAAAGCTGTACATATGATTTGATTGAATATCAGTAATTTAACACATTATGTATCGAGTTATCATCATACATTTAACAGGGAAGGTAAATGTATGTAGAGGCTGACTGTTGAATATGATATGTTTAATCATATAACTGTAACTTTTTCTCTCCACATGTAGCATTTAAAATCTATGTGCAATATAACAACAATGCACACACTATATTGTAAAATGTCAGATATAATATACTATCATATTGCCAGAAAAACATGCAGCAACTAAACATTTTCTCTTGTCATCGAACAATAAAGATAATGGTTGTACTAGGCCGGAATCTTTAGAAACTAATTCTCCAAGGCATTTTCCATCGCTATCAAACATCATGATGTTGTGTGAGCTACACCCAGCAATAAACACAATCCCATCATTGGATACACATACACCGCGTGTGTCAGTAAGCAGTTTATCGCTCAGTTCTCTTTTCACCGTTCCATCTCTTGTCAAGCAGACAAGACCATGACTTGAGTCTGCTACAAAAACATTTTCTCCGCTGACGGTCATTTGTTCTATAGATGTAAATATGCGTTGTCCATTGACATCACTACCGATAGAATATAATAATGAACCAGACGTACTGTATACATTTACACAATTTACATCAGATACCCACAACTGTCCAGCAAAATATGTCATTCCATGGTAATTTCCATGTGTAACAGTTATATCTCTCACCTTAGATAATGAGCTGCCTACTGATATAAACCAAACTTTGCTGTTGTACAGTTTTACAGCGACCTCATTATTGCCAGTACAACATATACCTCTAGGATGTGTTTCTAGATCAAAACAATCTTTATTGTTATAATTCACATCAAGCCTCTTTATCCGCTTATTATTATCATCTGCCAGTATGATTGTACCGTCTGGAAGCTGACATACATCGCAAATGTAGGGCTGGATCTTGTCGTTTTTCATGCGGATATTTTTCTCCTTCTGCGAACTTACTTTATAAGTTCTTGCAGTCATCAAACGTTTGCCTTCTGTTATCCTTAGTACAGACCCTAAAAACGATGATGAAGTGACTAATGACTTTAATTCTGTATTTTCCTTCAAATATAATGATTGACTGCCTTTAGCTTCATTGTGTTCAAACACTTTTACTGCAACGTTTAAAGTTTGTTGTGTCAGTTTTGTCTGAACAAATTGTGGTATTTTATCAAGACTGTCTACGTCTTGTAGCTGACTTCTTACCTGCTCAATTTCTTGTTTAGCTTTACTTATGTTAGAAATATCTGTCTCCAGTTCCTCTTTGACCAAAGAATATTCCGCATCTAGACCTTCCAAAGCTTCCCGTTCCAACTTCTGGATATGTTCTACCAAATCGAGCGCAAGTCCTTTTATTTGCAAAATGACGTCATTTCTTTGTTCCTCAATGCTTTTCAGGTTTGTTTTCGTTTTCTTATCAGTATTTTTTAAACGTTCTTGGATAATCATAATGTCAGCTTTTAAACGCTCTGTTTCTCTTTTCTGATCAGTAGAAACTGATAAGTCGTCTAAACATGTCACTCCCCTACAGGACCTAGTAAAACGAAATTTCAACTTTTCAGATAACAAAATTAAGGACAGTATTCCATTATTTTTATGATCATTCTACTTTACGTATAACTACATACATTGATTAATGTGATCTTATTGTGTTACAATGTCCAATTATCATGCTCATCACTAAAATCACATTGAAAGATATTATCGCATAAACTGTTTAGGTAACATATGACCTTTTTAATTATCTTATCTGTTATAATGTTTTAAGATGATTGTGACACTTGCTTTCAAGTTGCTTATTATAAAAAATACTGATTTACAACACATTTATCTTTCCTTCCGAAATTTACTGTTTTCGATGCCCGTCTGTTTTATGTCACCCTTTTGTCACAGACTTTTTTTTACTACAAACTCACATGGTGTAAATGATATCAATGGTATTATTACCAAATGTAGATTGATTTTAAGACTTATTACATATTTTATTAGTAATTATTGATAACTGTAAATTTAAAGATACTTAACAATGAGAACTTAATCTAAAGTAATACAAACCTATGGTATGTAGCAATACACTTTGTACAATAAACCATATCATGCTCTTTACAGTACATCTCTATCTCACGATCTGGGTGATATAAACATTTTGCTGCCACGATCACATGTGACCCTTGTTTTGCTTCGTTCTTGTCTAATAGCTTATGAGAACGGCTCATCCTCTGTCTTCCATGGTGTCTCGTGCATCCGGTGCACAAAAATTCCTGACATTCAGGACAATATTTCACAGCTTGTTCTCGAATATCACCCTCAAAACAAGGGGTACAAACAATGTCAATGTCAGTTATAGTCGAACGACCGTCTACTTCAGCCATCGTACCAGCTCAGTCTGTTATAAAATAACATTTATACGTTTCAAAATCATTTAATTTTACGTTATACCATATACAATTATTATATGGAATTGTTACATATTACTAGTTTTTAGGTGTTAATCTTTAAGAAAAAGTATATATAATTATATAAATATTAAAACTACGACTTAAATTATGAAATGACTGTCCTATTGAACATTTCTCATACATGCCGAGCTACATTTATGACAATTTCGTATTGTTGCCTTGATTATTGGTAATTTTTGAACATATTTTTGGAAATGGCAGTTAACCTTGATTTTTAACCTATTAACTGACCATTTAGGCTCTGATGGACACAATGTCACTTAATATATATCGTATTTTGTACGGATTATCAGTGATCCAATTTTAATTCATCTGTGATATTTAAATGATATTTATTAGGGGAGACCGGAGCAAAGTGAAACACAGGGAATATTGAAACACTCTTTGAAACGTATTTAGTACGTCGCCCCTGATGCAATAACTTTTTCGAAAATTTGACAATAATTGTTTGCGACATTTCGACCCCGAAAATCAGCGTGTTTTCGCTCAGCGCCTCCGCTATTTTAACTTGTTAATTCTCGACTTTTCGCTTAGCGGGGTCACGGGTTGAAAACACGCTAATTGGCTTTAGCACGGGGAAAAAAGTCGAGATTTTAACTACTAAAACGGCGAGGGCGTAGAGCGAAAACGAGTGAAAAGTCGAACTTTTTAACAAAAAATAATGAAAAACTTTGAAATCACCTAAAAACTAGTTTTTCCATGTTAACATGTGGTCTTTCACCTAATTTGGGTGAAAAATTGTTGTTTTGTAACATTTATAATTTTTTTAGTTAACCCTTTCCCCCCATGAGCATTTTGTGGAAAATGGCCGTTTTCACTGAAAAGCCTCCTGTTACAAGTTCAAACTGCTATGAAACTATGAAAAATGCTTCAATACTAATCAAACTTGGCACAAATGTTGACTGGACCATTGCCTTTGTAACGACATGCTCAGTCTTAAATTTCCTGTTACCATGGCAACGAGGGGGCATCTCAAAATTGCCCAAAATCACTATTTTGCCTCGATTTTTTCCATCAAAATTTATTTCAAAGTGCTGCAACTTCTCAAGGGATTGAGATAGAGTCAAAGGCTTTTCAGCGTTGGTTACACGTTACATTATGATCGACATGGGGTCATTTTTAGCCTCTCACAAGTCCAAAATTTTCTTGGCGATGAGGGGGACTCCGCCCCCCTTCAAACCCCCCTAACAGAAGGGGGCACATCCCCCTTCTGGCAACCCCCTGATGTATCTTTTGGATGGCGGGCCGCGCCGAAAAAGTGCTCAATTTTTTTAGCAACATTTCTCAAACGAAAACATGTGTTTGGGGCCCAAATACGACATTTTTTCACTCTTTGAGGCCTAAAAAAAGGGGGGGGGGGTCGAAAGTGCGTTGTTTCGCGTATTTATGGGGTAAAGGGTTAACAAAAAATAATGAAAAACTTTGAAATCACCTAAAAACTAGTTTTTCCATGTTAACATGTGGTCTTTCACCTAATTTTGGTGAAAAATTGTTGTTTTGTAACATTTATAATTTTTTTAGTTAACCCTTTCCCCCATGAGCATTTTGTGGAAAATGGCCGTTTTCACTGAAAAGCCTCCTGTTACAAGTTCAAACTGCTATGAAACTATGAAAAATGCTTCAATACTAATCAAACTTGGCACAAATGTTGACTGGACCATTGCCTTTGTAACGACATGCTCAGTCTTAAATTTCCTGTTACCATGGCAACGAGGGGGCATCTCAAAATTGCCCAAAATCACTATTTTGCCTCGATTTTTTCCATCAAAATTTATTTCAAAGTGCTGCAACTTCTCAAGGGATTGAGATAGAGTCAAAGGCTTTTCAGCGTTGGTTACACGTTACATTATGATCGACGTGGGGTCATTTTTAGCCTCTCACAAGTCCAAAATTTTCTTGGCGATGAGGGGGACTCCGCCCCCCCCCTTCAAACCCCCCTAACAGAAGGGGGCACATCCCCCTTCTGGCAACCCCCTGATGTATCTTTTGGATGGGGGGCCGCGCCGAAAAAGTGCTCAATTTTTTTAGCAACATTTCTCAAACGAAAACATGTGTTTGGGGCCCAAATAGGACATTTTTTCACTCTTTGAGGCCTAAAAAAGGGGGGGGGGTCGAAAGTGCGTTGTTTCGCGTATATATGGGGTAAAGGGTTAATAATTTTGGCGGGGCGCGAACAGCACGGAAATCAGCGCCCTATATCAAGAAATTATATCGAGTTTTCGCCCTGCATCCCGCTCATTAGTTTGTTTTCAACTCGCAACCGCCATATTGACTTGTTAATTCTCGACTTTTCGCTGGGAGGGCCGAACACACAAAATGACACAAATCAGCCGCCATACTGTACTACAAAAATGTACTATTTTATCAAAGTGATTTCTGTATAAGATTACTCGTGTTTCTATCTGGGCAAAATAACACTTGATTTGTTTTCAATATTATAAATACAAGCAAATAATTGGCTCTTGGCAAACAGTCAGAAGAAAATTGTGACAATGAATATATCATTTTGAAATCTTACAGTTCGAAGCTATACAAGATGTTACACAGTGTATTTTTAAGTGGAAAACTGCTTAGCGTATGACAGTATGATAAGAGTAATGGGATATGGGTCACATGATCTTATAAATGGATAAAAAGGATGTTAAAGTATGACGATACCATCATCGATCAGTTTATAGTTTGTCTGTTTAGCTTCGCCACTACCCACTCATTGTTTTAAAGTGAAACTCTCTACTAATATTTTGTAGACTACAATCTAATCTACTTTTTATAATGTTTTATATACTTAGAGAGGAATTTAAGAAAAGATATAAAATTGTGTGACAGTAAAAAAGTACAAAACAGGAGCCGGTCATATTGAAAATAACATCAATTATAGAAAAAGTGTTTCACAAGGCAACCTTGTGTTTTAAAATGATTTCATTCATATAAATATTTTTGGGTTGTGAAATGTTATTCATCTTCATAAAATTGCACAACATGTCAATACATGTATTTGTAATTATTTCATAAAGAGGGGAATTTAAGGTAAATTTCTTTCCCTAGAACATTAGTCAATTTCTATCCTTAGAACAATATTCTGCCTCCATAAAGTTCAACTGATGACTGCCCTACTTAAAAAATCTCTAATAATGAACAGTTTCAAAACAGAAAGTAGAACAAGTAAATTTCTGAAATTAAGGTCACCGTGAAGGGTTATATCTTGCATATAGATATGTAATTTACCTTATCCTACACGTACTGTCTTAACCTTGTTATAATGTCTCCTCCAAAAACGTTATACACCGTAACTCTTTATCTATTACACTAATCAATCTGTCATGATTTCTGATTTTGTTAAGTAACAATAAATCAATAAATGTTTACTTTACTATACGTCCCATAATTCCCTCCTATTAATTGACTTCTTGTTTCGTTTTCCATAAAGGTAAACTTTACACTGGTGTAGCTGTGTTTTTTCCTTTGTGGTATCGGCGCAGCTATCGTGCTATAGTCATACGCTTTTTTTTAGTTAAACATCAAAAGGTTTTTTATCAGATTCAGTATACTACATGTACTAATAACAATCAAAATAATCATAATAAACACTTTATTTCAAGAAGGCAACATATTAAGAAATATATACCTTACTTTAATTAAGCAAGTATTAAAGCAACCTACATATATGCACACACATATAAAAACATTAAACAACAAACGTTTAAATCGACAGACACTTGTATTCACCAGATTCGTGAAGCAACTATGATATATAAATGTATATCAAGGAAATATTGTTTTTTTTTATTTCTTTTAAAACATATAGAGACGAAGATACTTTTAAATATACATGTAAATTATTCCCCATTTGCATAACTTTAAGTTTTTTTTAAACATATTTTGTATTAGGGCTTACATGTATTATGTTTCTATCAGCAGCTGATCTCAGCGTATATGTTATATTTTTTGAGAACACTAGGATATTAAAAAATAGGAGGTCAATCTTTGTATAGATTGCAAACAGGTGCGTATACAGGATTTTTAAAACAGGAGTCGCAAAATTTCAATAAGGCATTTTGCAGAGGGTCATTGACTTTGATTTGCAATAGTCGTTACGAGATTTTCACTTTTTAAATACGCAACTCAACATTTAAATCTCACAAGTTTTTCCTGTATACCAGTCAAAGCCGATGGGATGGATCATTCCTAACCAGCACACGTTCTCTGGGTCCGCGTATTTCTTTTTTTCAAATCCTTTTCTTCTGTTTTGTTTCGTTTTGTTCATGTGTTTGTTATCAGTTGATTAACAGTAGTTAATTTCAGTGGGCATTACAAAGGGCTCCGAACAATTTCTTTCACAAAAGTCGCCATCAAGTGTGCAGGCGATCACTTTGAACATCAATGGAGGCATGACTTTGCTATTAGTTTCCGCACGTGAGAGGAATTCATCAAACTTAATGACTATTAGTTTCCGTACGTGAGAGGAATTCATCAAACTGAATGACATACGCCATCATAAAGTATTTTGAAATTCATTGTGTAATTTATAAGCTAGTCATCTTAATTCCTGCTTTCGCAAAAAAGTTACTATATAAAGACATTTAAGACTGGTATAGAAATTGGAAATAAAAAGTATATGTGGTATATAATATCGGTCTTAGCGGTGTTTATCGGCTATTTAACACCGGTTTGGAGTTTTGATGCGTAGGAATTGACCACGAAGGCCGTAGCCCCGAGTGGTTATTTTATTTTTGCATCAAAACGACAAAACCGGTGTTAAATAGCCGATAAACACCCCTAAGACCGATATTATTTCGATTCAAACACGATAAAATAAGGAAGACCACTAATGTTATTTTTTCAAGAGGAAATAACTTCCGGTGCCGATTTTCGTAAAGCGCTGTTCGATTTTCGCAGCCTACTGTTGTTAAGATATAGAAATTATTAAACAAAAGAAATAATAAAGAAAAAAACGTTATTTTATCAACTTTTCAACAATAAAAACTAACGTTTTAGAATGGATTGTATTGTGTTTAGGATGTCGTCATTACGCTGCTTACGGATTGGCGCCGTTTTCTAAAAATATTTATTAACTGATATGGATCAAATATGTGGCGTTAGTGTATCTGAGATATTATTTCGGTATTGTATGAAAAGAAAACATTATAAGACCTGAAAATATAAATAAATTTGCTTTGTATTATTGCTTGAACTATAATATATAATCGAGGGTGAAAAAGATGATTCGGGTATTTGGCCAATGAGTAACTGTTTGAAAATTATAAAAATACACAAAAAATGCTTTTGTAAAAAAAAAAACAGCATTTCTTAAGCATTTTTGTCTTGTCCGGGAGGCCGGACATCCCGGACAACTAATCAGTAATTATCAACTTCTCCGAAAGTGACTGATTTTTAATCTTTTAATCCTACATGATTATGGCTCAGCCGTGAGAGACAAATGACCATTAGACTCAATGAACGAGATAAGTTTTCAAAGAAATTTTGCCCGCCTCAAACTGAGGATCATACCGGTGACCCCTAAATGCAGCGTTTCTGTCAGTGGAATATAGAATGCATAAAAGTGATAAATTACACTCGTCAAATGCTTAAATAAATATTATATATCTGCATAAACGAAAACAGGATTATGCAGACTGAAATATCCGCTATATTATAGTAACTGGGCAGCATGGATAGAGATATTTAACAATGTAGCTGTCGGTCTCTTAATCTATTTACTAATGATCACTTAAGAGAGGTGATGTTTTCATCCAAATTTCTATGTCAGGCTACTCTACAATAAAAAAAGGAATCTAATTTCAACATGTATGTAAATATTCTAATGATACAAAAGCGAGCTCAAAGACGGGCCTCCAAGCAAATCGAGTGTAACGGTATATGAAATAGGCGCAAAATAGATATAACGAATGAAAGGAATTCTAACCAATAATGAACAGAGAACCATAAAAAATGTCACAAAACTACCAAGGCCAATTTTAGTAAATGTACAAATAATCTTTACTAAAAGACTGTTATGGCCCATTTAAAGTAGTAATAGTTGAAATATTTCATAAGTGCACAGTCTGTCCTTATTAAAATGCTGTTATTTTTTGTTAAAGAAGATGTTGAGACATGTGGAATAAAGTATGTAGACATGAAACTTCTAGATTATCAATATAGGATTGAAAAGAGCGGAAACGTATACATAGAAATATCACTTGAATACTCGGGCAAACGCAGCTGGGATTCGAAACACGGGTCTGTGATGTGTGATTGTGACAATACTGAATTATGTACGTAGTACGAGTACAGAGCTGTCAAACCTATAATAGGTGAGGTACTAGTTCCAAGTGTCTCAGTCAGACTGGGCACTATATAGGGGATTTTCAGCATCATGATAATGGGATTTGGTGGTGTGTAACATTAATGCCAGAGTACTTCATAAACAGCTAGGTGCTATTTTAATGTTTGCGAAAACGTCTTAAAACAAAAGAAGTGTATAAATTTGATTAACTTTGATTCTCCTCTTTACATTGAATATTTAACATTTAAAAAATAACATTTTTGCGAAAATACCTGCTCAGGAACATGTGACAGTAAAACTGGAGTTTCCATTTTTTTTCGTGAACGCATGGAAACATTTTTATGGCCAAAAAATGACATCCTGTATTTCCACATGTATTTTTGGAAATTTATACGAACCTTGCAAAACAAAAATATGCCGTTGATGACTTTAATAATGCGTTTTCCATTAAATTAATGTACATAATTATTTAGATGCAACGTTTAATTTTGATACATCAAGAGAAGTGATAGAATTATTTTATTTTACATGTATATTCATGATTTGTTATAAAGATGTTCAAGATTGAAAGATACTGCGAGCCATATCCATATAATGGACCCCATTGGAAATAAGCTTTTAGCTTAATGGGCAATCCTAGGGTTACATAGAACATACTCATTAATTAATCTTATAATTATTTTTGTTGCATTTATGTGTGATTTTTTATATATATGCAAGTTGATATCTGTGATAAAATTGTATGTGTATATGTCTATTCCCTGAATAAATCGATACGATCTATGAAAAAGTTGAAATTGAATCTCACTTTAAATCATACTAAGAAAGGTTATACTATATCACCGAGGTTAGAGCTGTTTTGAACAACTTTTAGGAAAATAAAATCTAATGACGAATATTTTAAAACAAAATGTACACAAAACAAAGGAACACAATCTTTATTTTTGAAAATTGAAAATGCATATAACTACGCGTCATACGTACCTATAGATTTTCATAATTATATTTTGTACATTTAGTGATTGAACGAGTTTTAAAGAAATATAAACGATATCACTTTGCCACACCCTTTATAATTGTTAGATCAAATGAATATAAAAAAAGTAGTTCATGTTCAAGGTATGATGGTCTTTGTATATATTTTGTGCAAGAGATGATTGAACGAGTGGAAGGAAAATGAAATGGGTAAAAAAAAACACGCTTTGTTCTATTGAATTCAAACATTTTTAAATATTTAAATCACAAATATGTATGTAATTTTATTCAGATTCCAGAAAATATAGCTTTTTAACAGCTACCTGGCAGAAAATTCGAAGGAGATTTTTTATTGTCTTACGTTTTATGATAGAAAGGTCACTGATAAGCAACGTAAAGGAATGAGACAAAACAAATGGTACAGTAATTTTGGGTATGACCACTATTACTAATTTTCGGAGTTTTTTTTCTTCAATTTGTTAAAAAATGAGTAATTTCACTCTTATAAATTTTGCAAGTAAAATGTAATCCTTCCAAAATTTATTATTGAAGCAATTTGCAAACAGACTGATTTTCAGCCGCTCATTTGATGCAGCATACTGAAGTAGTACGTCTCATAGTATGACTGTCTATTGGAACTTGCAAACATCTTATGAATGTTTTGTTATATTTATCACATATAAATTCAGTCAAATCAATTTGTTTTATTATTAAAACCAGGCTCTATTCTGATAAAAATAAAAGTTAGGTGACTTAGATAACACATTTATAATATCACAAATTTAAGAAATTTCGTTTTGTTTAATCATATTTTATTGCTTTTACATTTTATACAAAAACAGATACATTGTCACATGTAAACATACTACAAAACAGTAACGAATACCTTTACAGTTATTACACGGATGTTATAGTTATTTTTAAAAAGCAAAAGGGTCACGCCACAAGTTTTAACAACATAAGAGAATTGGCCCTTCCTACGAAAGACCGGTGGTGACATTTCACGTTCACGAATTCATGATTTCAAGATTTTAAATTTCATTACTTTTAGAGTGAAATGTTGAATTTTTAAATCGTGAATTCATGAATTCATAATTTCATAATTTCACGATTTCTTTTAAAAACTTGAATAAATGAAATAATGAAATCGT